GCCGTAACAATCGGCAGTGTAGGAATATGTGCTCTCGAAGACGAAGAAGATACCGAATGCGATAGGTGCGAGACCGATGACGGGGCCAACCCAGCTCAGGTATCCGTATTGTGTGAAGGAGTAGATGAAGAGACCGATGGGCAGCCAGACAGCGCCGAACATGGCGCCATAGAGACGGTGTTCGGGAACGATGCGGACGTTGGGGTCTTCTTGGAGTTGGTTGTACTTGCGCATCTGGAGGTGGTGGGCAGCCCAGCCGAGGAAAGTACCGATGGCGAGAGAGATGTAAGGTAGACCGCTGACACCTTCAGACCAACCACGCTTCTCGGTGAAAGTAATTGGGATGACCGAAAGGAACAGGAAGACGACGGCCCAGCAGAAGGCAATCCAGAGACCGAAGGCGAAGACGACGGGTTCGGTGACAAGCATGCGGATGGCCTTGACGGACGAAGCCTTCAGCATGGACTTGACATCGGGAGTGTAGATGTCATCTTCCGCGACGTATCGCTCATCTCCAGTTGCCTTTTGCAGCTGCTTGGCTCGCTTGTGTAGTCTAGCACCGCCACGTGTTTCGGGGAAAGCGACGAAGATAAGGATCAGGAGAGGAATATTGGCGAGGCCCTGGATACCCTCAACCCATCGCCATCCGAGCGCTTGGTCGATGAAGCCGGCGTAGATGGGTGCAGCGACAGTACCGAAGATGGCGACGAAAGCGAACATGGCCATCGGTCGGCCGCGCTTGTGGGGTTCGTACATGTCGTCGAAAGTGCCGCCGACAAGGATGGTTCCGACGCAGCCGAAGAGACCGAGTAGTAGGCGGAGGCCGATGATGGTAGAGATGTTCTGTGCGAGCGCGAGACCGATGAAGATGAGCGAGAAGCAGAGGAAGGCACTGGCGTATACGATCTTGCGTCCGACAAGCTCACAGAACGGAGCTAGTACCATGGGTGCGATGGCACACGAGATGTTGAAAGTGAATAGTCCAAGCTGACCATAGATTGTGTCAACGCCGAATTCCTCGCACATTCTGTTGATGCCCGAACTGTATGCTGTTGTTGCAAGACCGATGAACAGTGTCATCAAGTTCAGCATCGTGGTGATACTGCGCTTGTACCAGGGGTTCCAGTTGAACGGGTTCTCCTTGTCGCCAGTCGCGAAGCTGAGTACGATGTAGTCCTTGCCCTCATGGTGGACCATTTCGGTCAAGGTAAGAGGCATATCGCAGTCAACCTTCTTGATCTCACCACAACCAGGATCGATGTCCTCAATATCGTCGGTAAGATGCTTGCCGCCTGCGATTCTTCCAACAATGAGCTCGCCCTTTTCGTTGCGCAATACTTCCGAGTTCATAGAAGGGGCTTCCTCTTTGCCGTTGGCCTGATCCTCTAGTTTGCTGTTCACTCTCGAGAGCAACGCAGGTGTAGTTGCACCAGTGTTGGCAGCTGTGTTGGCAGCTGTTTGTTGTGCAGTCGTGCCGGCGATTGTGGCGGCAATGGAGCCATTGCGAGGGGTGGTAATCGAACCATTGCGAGGTGTGACGGGTGCACTGCGAGCAACTCTGTATGAGGAATTTGCTCTCGACGCTGCAAGAGATGGAGGTCGCGATGACTTGTGGTTGAAGGAGGGACCGTAGTACCCAGACATGGTGATCGACGATTAAAGTGGAGGTTCCTGTTTGGAAAACAAAGGAATGGGCGCGGAGTGACGACCGTAATCAAAGAGAGGAATGGGATTTGGGAGACGGAAAGCAGATATGTATATCCTGCTTGTCAACACCGGCGAGGGACGGCATCGTCGCCACTAGGGGCGGTGTGTGGGATGGCATTCGTCCCGTCCATGGCCTGACCGTAAACACCCGACAGGCTGGCTCGAGGACGAAGGACCACTACAAAGGGGGTATCCCAGGTTCATCGTCTTCGACGTCATAGTATCGGTGCACAAATGCCCAATAGATTCACTTAGTGCCATTACGAAGCGTGGACGGACGAGAAAAATCTGCTATCTCTAACGTGTACGGACACTATGTGCTCTAGCGTTCCAGGACTGTGAGAAGAGTTTGGTGTTGAGGCTCTGCGGGACTCCACTTAGTGGGCGGTCCGGTCGGCAGGATCACGGCATGACGTCGCGCGTGGATAGCCTATGCCAAAATTTGCATATGTTTCGGAGAGGCCTAGATTGTAGCCTATCTTCGGCAGCCGTGCATGTCCGAGCACGCGTGTAACGGGCGTTCAGGTGGTCTGATCCAGACGTTCTTCGCGTATGATTTCCAGTCGCATCGATGATCGTTGAATGACCTCCACCGTGTGCCTCACGATTTTACACGATAGCAAAGCTCGGTTGGCTCAGTCACTCCTGCATAATCTGTCAAATATACGGGGCTGTCGCATAATACTTGCTTACTTCATATATGCAGGTCCGCCTCGAGGCAATACCGACCTCTCCGATGACAGCGCGAGCCATTTCGTGTACGGTCTGTCCGTCCTCGAGTATGCGCACTGGCGATCATAGCGCCATTTGACGACCGCAGTGTTGAATTGATGAATGCGAGATGCATGTGAGTCGAAGTGACGATAGAAGCGTTGCTTCTCGAATCCCATGTGGCACGTGGGAGGGTGGCGGGTTCGCATCTGCACAGACTAGACTTCCACGAGCCGAAGATTACCCACGACCCGTTGCTACTACTGCGTCCATTCCAGCCCGTCGCACGACTTGTTAAGCACGAGCACCTCATAAATAGAGGAGATCGAACCAGTGCGCTCAGTCTACTCTAGTCACAACACGGGAATTAAAGCATTCTTAAGGCATTGCAGACGCCGAGATAGAGTAGTTCGTATCGATCTCTGTAGGTGTGTATATCATTCGTTGGTGAGATGTGGTGCGAGCGACGAAACAAGGTTTCGTGACTACAACACTCTGGGTGCAGAACCGTGTTCCTGGTCAATGATGATCACCGTTTGTCACAGTTGTCAGTATGATGACACCAATATAGATCCATATAGTCGGCGCAGTGTCCATGCTTACTGCAACGGTATCGCTGCATACCCCAGAAAAGCGACGAACCTACAAGGTTAGCGAATTCACTAAGATGACGGAACGCGGCGTGGTTAGACAACGCGAGCCGTAAAGGACACATCCGGTGACGTGCCCAAATCATCGATGCAATCATCACAGCTTGTACGCGGCGCGAGGAGCGAGGTGTTTGTTTTGTCATGATCGTGCCATTGTTTTGTATGATTCCCTGATGAACCCCTGGTCGTTATGAGACCAGCATCCGATTGCTGCGATGAGCCTTTCATCGGACCATGGCTGCCGATGCAGAGAAAACCTCGAAGAACTCCACCCAATGCTCAATGTTCCCTTAAACCTCAGCAATCTCTCGGAGACGACGGATCGTTGACCTGGTGGCGGCGGCAGCGGGAGTGCTGTGGGTAGCGGTTAGCGCTATCCTGATAAGATCTGCGACCAGTCCTTGAACAACGGCGCAAGGGGCTGGTGGTGTGCAGGGAGTCTTACGAGACGGTGTAGGCTCCTCCAGCGGTGGTCTTGCGGCAAGACCTGCAGTTCCAGATACCGACGGCCTCACGCTTGACAGAGTTCTTTCCGCAGAATTGGCAGACGTAGCGGGCGTGTTGTGTGATCTATCGCAGGTGAGTGACTCGTTCTACTGAGGCTGTACGGGTTGTGTGGGATTGCGCACCTCCATCTTCTTGACCCTAGATATTGTCAGTATAGCTGTCCCTGGCTCTGCGAGTGCGGCGAGGGGATACTTACTGCTTACGGAGCGAGGCACCGTAACGGGTACCGTACTTTCCGGTGATGCCGACCTTCTTTGTGCGCTTCGTCATTTTGGCGGTTGTGATGAGTTGACGAGTGTGGAAGCGTCTGGGTGTCGAATTCGATGACCTTCAAAGTGGTGTGGGGCGCCAAAAATCGCTAAACCGGGGTCTTGGCGTGGTGCGGCACCGGAACAACCCTGCCTCCGGTGCGAGAGGCCTGAGACACCGAGACACTGCATTCCATTTTATTCTCGAAGTACTGCATGATCGTAGCCGGCTTCTGATCTAGCAGTCATGAGGGTTTGTATCACACAGACGCGACAACTGCATTCTACACCCAAGTCTCGTTGTCGCGCCTTCTACAGCCGAGTCCTCTCGCTGGTCTTAGCACACTTGCAAGCTGTTACTCCAATTAGAATGAGCATTGAATCCTCTCATACTGGAAGATGCGGTTGTATGAAAATCTGTCAGTCGGAGAGTAGTTCTCGTGGAGTCTCTAAGTTGGAACGCGCGGTTCACGGACACGAAGGGCTCGGCAGTGACACCTGAGTTTCGCAACAACATCTCAGGCACAGTACCGTCTCGCCTACTTGTCGCAACCCAGAGGCAACCAAGGGTGTGCCGCCGATGCGCGAATCTCAGTAAAGCCGATCGTTTGTCAGAAGCGCCCGGCTGCCTGATTGCCGAAACAACATGAAACCAAAACAGCTGACAAGCACAGCCGGGCGCCAACAAACCACCCAAAATGGTGCGATCGTGCGCTTATCGTCTGGAGATCAAGCAGTATTCAGATGCCAAGGTCTATTTCCACCGGCGTCTGCCGGACACAACGGTCTTCCGGGGTTTGGGGCGCAGTGGACTGTGTGGGGAGGACTACGCGGCGTGAATATCGCCGTTGGGGTACAGAGTATGCAAAGATGGTGGAGAGGATATATATTCTGGGGCTGCATTGTATTTTGAGAGGGAGTTAAACATCATCGATTAAGCGCGCCCAACCCTAGTCGTTTCCACCTAGCATTCTCTCAAATCTACACAGTATGGCTATTCGCTTTCTCAAACATGCAACATTCATCGCTGCTTTCGCAGCATTCGTCGCAGCGCAAGACGACACCATCATACCCGAAGACCTTCGATCAGGCTTCCGTTCAGGTGGAGACGAAGTACAGGTCTCTTTCACAGGCGAAGCAATCAATGGCTTCAAGGATGGAACTGTGTTTGAAAAAGATGGTTAGTCTTTCCTCTCAACATATACTACGAAACCTAACATCGTATAGCTGTATCAAAGGAGCCCACGTTCGCTCTCGGTGATAGTAGTGGCATCTCCCCTGGCACGCTGTACACGATCATCATGGTGGATAGCACATGTCCAAACGCTCGGAAACTCCATTACGCTCGGGCGAACTTCAAGAACAACTTCGACATCACCAACATCGAGACTGAGTCACCTGCTCTTCTGGATTACGTTGCTCCTGGCTCCGTCGGCGAGAAGGGAGACGACCGACAGTACAGTTTTCTGATGTACACGAACCCAGGACGGAAAGAGATCACGGATCTGCAATTGCCAGGAGACAACGAGGCCTTTGATATCACGAAATTCCAAGATGACAATGGGTTAGGGGACGCGATGGCTGGAGTAGGGATGGTTGTGAAGCTTGGTGGTCAGGCAGATTGTGCAGGTGGCAGTGCAGAAGCGTTGCCTAGTAGCTTGCCAACACCGAGACCAGCGAGTAGCACGACAGTCAGAGTGTCTACTGCTACTGGTGGGTCAGATGCGGTAGCGAGTGCTACACCCACGGATGATGCGAACTCACCTTCTTCAGCTGCGACCCCTACCCCTACCTCAGCAGCATCGGGTAGGCCAGCGAACTCAGTCGTCCCGTCGAGCGGCAGTCCTCCATCTTCAGCCGCACAAACCCTGGCTACTGTATCAACAATTGTTTTGTCCAGCGCGGAGGGAACAACTTCTCCAACGGCAGCTGCTACCGCGCCAGAGCAGACTGCAAATGCTGCCCCGGGAAAGATGTATTGGCCACGATGGGCTGTTGCTTCTGTATTGTTGGTCTCTGGTAACATGATCATGTCATGAGTTAGGGTGCGGTAATACCATGAATAAATGAACATCAACGTTTTTTGAGCGTTGCTTTATTACACATGTACTATAGTACGAGCTTAAGCTACTTAATTACGTCCAAGCGAAGCCGTTCTTACAATTTCCACGGAAGCCTGCTCTGTACTTTGCCCGGCTGCCTTCTATCTACAGCCATTGTACAACTACCACACCACATCTTGATCCTCCATTTACTCTTTGACAGCCTCGGCGTAACTCTTGTCCAACGAGCCATTCTTCTTGATCAGCTCTCCAACGATGAACGGTACACAATCTTGGGGACCGTAGTACTTTAGATCAAACTTATCCCATTCACCTGCGTCTCTCAAGAAGTCTAGCGTATGCCTCTGAAGCTCACACCCACCCAGGAAGAATGGCCATCCAAGGATCGTATACACCAGTTGCATGAAGCGCGCAGCAACTCTGCCTTCGGTTCTCCAGGGATTCGCTACGTGCTCGCAGATCACCATGCGACCGCCAGGCTTGAGAAGGTTGTAGAGTCCCTTGATAGTCTGCTCTGGGTGGGGAACACCACAAAGCACGCGAGTGCAGCAGATCTCATCGAATACACCATCAGATGCCAACCCGCCTTTTCCACTTACATCCAGGATTCCGCTCTTGTGCAATGCTGGAATCAGACTCTCCGGCTCCGCACCACAGACCATGGCGTGGAACTTGCTACCAAACCCTCTCTTCTCCGCGTTCTTCATCAACCCTGGATGCAAGTCTTCGGCAGGTTCAGCCCCGTACACAGCAGTGATAATATCCGGGTTAAAACGTGAAAGCATCTCTCCGGATCCAGGGCCGATGTCGAGGACTACGCCTTTGCACTGGGACAAAAGCGAGAATGTAGGACCGGGCATTTCAGCAGACATTGCTTCGCCGTTGTTCTTCCAGAGGCGGGCGAATGCCTTGAAACGGAGTTTGGTGATGTTGAATAGCGAAAAAGGGCGCCAGTCATAGAACACGACTTCAAACATGGTCATTACGAAGTCTATGTATAAGTCAGTTCGGGTACCCTAAATGATGGTTGCAATGCTACTCACGATATGCTGCTATGAAAAGCAATATAGACGGACGAAGAAGCGTCGGAATATTCTCGCCCAGCCATTGTGACGCCGTCATGATTTCTTTGAATCCTGCGCGTCTCGGAGTTACGATTATAAGATACTTCGGAAGCGGATCCGCGGTCGCAACGGCGATCAATCGATGAGGATGCAAGAGCAAGAGTGGAGGAAAGGAAACAGAAAACAGAATCCAAAAAGGAACATCATCAGCTAAGCTCCATGTCCCAATGGAACGCTCGGGAACAAATGCTAGTCAGGCATTTTGGTAGTCGATGACATGATAGGTCAGTTGGGGGGTTCAAGATACGGACGGGGCGTGTGTGACGTCGACGCGCTAGTGGCAGGAACAACCGAGGCGCGGATCTGAATAATGCGCATCGTGAGCTGTGACGTCTGCAGCCATCAACACATTGCCAGCTGTCAACACACACAATGACCGAAGGAAAGAGAACGCAATTTGCTTTGGTCACGGGGTAGGTACTACTACAAGTCGCGACAGTCGTAGGCTTAGCTCTTTTCAGCTCCAACTGACGCGAGCAGATGTACTCCCGGCGGTATTGGACACTATCTCGCGCTGGAGTTCGCCGAACGAGGTAAGCATAACACCATGTCTTCACAATTATTGGTTGCTAATCGGTGTATATAGGCTTTCAAGTCCTGGGTACCGTCCGCGATCCGTCCAAATACACCTCGCCGCACCCCAACATCACATATCTACCCCTCGAACTCCCCCACAAGGAATCCATTCGCGCACTCCACCAGCGCGTCACTGAGATCACAGGAGACAAACTCGACGTACTGTACAACAATGCCGGACGCAACTATGTCGTACCAGCGCTGGACTACGACGAGGATGAGCTGCAGGAACTTTTCCAAGTCAACGTCTTCTCCGTCATGGAGATGTGCAAGACCTTTACCCCTCTTGTGGTCGAAGCGAAGGGTACAATTGTACAGACAGGGTCATTAGCTGGCATCATGCCTTATGTGTGGGGTGCACCATACAATGCCTCCAAGGCCGCACTGCACGCCTACTCCGACACCCTACGCGTCGAACTCGCTCCGCTAGGCGTACGCGTCATCAACGTCGTGACTGGCGGCGTCACATCGAACATTGCGCGAACGCACCGAACTCTGCCACCGGGCTCCTATATGCAACCGCTTGCTGCCGAATACGAGAGAAGGTTGAAGCACAGTCAAGAGTTGGGCATGGATACCAAGCAATACGCAAGCAGTTGCGTGAGGCAGGTGCTTGCTGGAGACGGCATATTCTCCAAGACGAGATGGATATGGGAGGGTAAGATGAGCTGGGTCGTGTGGTTCGCGTGGACATACCTACCGACTGCGGCGCTTGATCTTTACTTCACCAGGACGTTCAAGCTGAACAAGCTGAGAGGGACAGCTGGACCGGACAAAAAGACGCGATAAGGAAATGCGATGGCCATGAGCGGCTGCAAGCATTGGATGATGCCAATCAGACTCAGTTCCCGTGTGACCCAATCCTTTGTGGAACAGGCCGGCCATACGGTCTGGTTACGATCAGTCTTGGTCTTTGGCAATACACCGTATTCCATTCTCCGAAGATGCAGATTCATTTGCTGATGGGTCATTTTGAGCAGACATAGCATACGTCATGTGTGTTGTAGCACAAACGAAAATATTCATCGCTTTTTCGATGCACGATGCACCATCCTGACGACTACACGTCGTCGCCCGGGAGGGTGCATGCATGTGCCAAGAGTTTCAACCACACAGTAATCTCCTATTTGTTTGCTTGGAGACAGCTTCCCAACCTTTATACCCGCATATTGCAAACCTCTGCGCATGTACAATCACTGCGAGTCAATCGACAGCATATCCACCGAGACCATTGCAGGTCGTCCATCGCTTCCCGACCTTCCCAATGAAATCCTCACTCTCATCTTCGATCACTTGTTTGACGGCCAGCGCAGGCAAGCTAGGCTGCATGCGCGTGATCGCAAATACAGCCTTTCGACGACCTACGCAACTCTCTATTCTTTAGCACGCACCTGTCGCACCTTGTCCCACGTCGCAAGGGATATCCTCCGTCAGAAGTTCGTATGGGAGTTCCGCCATCCATTCGGACCTTTCGCACAGGGAGCTCGGCCTGGGCCTTATCATCATACATATCCAGATTGCAGGCACATCAAAGTGTTGAGCGATGCTGAGATCGATGGAAGGCCACTTTACGAAGGACCACCAAAAGAGGCGCTCGAGTCAGCCTTGATGACCCAACGAGGCTGGCCAGATGATGTACCGCATATTCTTGCGGAGGCACTCGAGGGACAACCGGCTGCGGTTGAGCTCGCATTGGTTGTTGCCAACTCACCCAATCTACGAGAGTTCATCATGGACGCCCGTCATGCGATATCGCGCTTTGGCGGGTTCCTCGGCGATGCCCCCATATGGCTTTATCCTATCATCCAGGTTGCGCAACGAAATCTCATCAAGAGTGTCAACAACCCATTCTACAACGAGCTCCGGGCTATCGATATAAACATGCAGAATGGCGCTTGCTACAGTTCGACTGTGGCATGCCTCTTTGTTTTACCGAGTCTTCGAAAACTTCGTTTAAGCGTGAAAGCAGGGGTGTGGTCGATGTTAGAAGGAGAAGATTGGCCAATTCAAGAGAGGTCCTCATCGGTCTCCACCCTCATACTCCACAGAGTCAAGATTTCGGCTATACATACGAAGCTCATGATCATGTCCTGCAAAGAACTATCGAGATTTGAGTATGTGCGGGACTCGAGTAATGATTCGTTACGCGGCTTGCCGGAGATCATGTCTGGTCTCGAGCAGCAGCAAGACAAGCTACGCATCCTACGTCTCGACTTTACACATCGCGACCCACGAGATGCCCCTGATCTGAACCACGCACGCATCGATGGATTCCACCGATTATATGCTCTGGAGAAGCTCACCACGTCGTTTCAAATACTGCTCGGTAGGCCCTCAATGGATTATACCGGCGATGGAGGCTGGCAGTACCCTCAGATTCGGGATGTACTACCCCATAGTCTACAGGAGTTGTCATTAAGAGTGAAGTCTACGACATTATCCCAAAATTATCATGATGGCTATCATCGCCTCTTCTCCAGCGCACTTCCCTTGCAAACAAACGGTCTACGCCTCAAGAAGGTCCATGTAGCGTACTCAGACAGGAAAGGGAGGGCTCCTCCGTTGCCGTTCAGCTTCTGGAATATCAAGGACTTGTTTGTCGCACACGGAGTCAAGTTTGACTATCGCATTTTGATTCACACCAATCTGGGAGGTAAGTAAGCTCTCGTTCCAGCACTTCGTCTTCAGCCAGCACTCCTGCTACTGCTAGCAAGCGCTCGTACATAATGTTGTTGCTCTATTTGCATAGCGCTGACGTTGCTAAACAGAAGATGCGTACGTCAATGACATGGCTTCAATGCTCAAGAGATACGGGCCGAAGGCAGTCGAAGTGGCTCATCACTTTTACCTCTATCCAACCCAACTCGTGCAGAAAGTCCTATCTGAACTAGCCTATCCTGAAGACTGGATAAGCAGCGAGGAAGGCCGGAAGTATATGTTCGCGTCGTGAGCTATTTATAGGATTGGCATCACTAGCAAGACCCTGGTTCTTCATCTCTTCCCATCGTGCTGAGTAAGACCGATGCTTGTTCGGGTAGACAAAAAGCTTAACTTTTGCTTGTTGAACGGGACCATCGCACCGAGCCGGACGTCTCCGTCCTGTAACGTAGCATCGTATGCCTGAAGATCTCCCGTGTCAGACATATTCTTGGGGTGAGGCAACGACCTATATCCCCGTCCCTTACTCCCAACACACCAAAACTCAAACTATGACGTCGCAACTACTACATCCACACTCCGTCTCGCTAACGGAATCCCGCTCCGACAAAACAATCCCACCTGCAAGCGAAAACCCTCGTCCCAGCCCAACCCCACGGAGCGCCACAATGCCCTCAGGTACATGACACTTGTACCTCCCTCCACCACCAGAACCCACAATCTCGTTCTTTTTCCCCCATCGACGATGAAAGGCGCATCGCATGTGATGTATTATACAATGTTCTAGTGTGTTTCCACGCACAGCCCACCCCAATCTAATATATATTGCGAGTATACACCAATAGCGCCGTTTTCGCGGATCAGGTACCTATATCAGCCGGTTGTTATTACCACGTGAGGGAATGCGCACCTTGGCGATCGGACGGTATGGAACTATGTGGGGCCAAGACTACCGTGCGCCGTGTATGTGGTAGTGTGTGTGGGATGTAGTGGGTAGGTAGTACTTGCGAGGATGGTGGGTGCGATGGTGGGATCTGGACCTTGGGGCGGCTGGTGCGCCGGCTGTGTGGTAGGTGGTCGATATCGTTATCTGAGACTTTGTATTACCACCGAGATATGGGATTTCGTTTTGCTGACTGTGCTCTTGGATTACGTTGATGTCACATGCAAGATAATTTATCGTGGGAGCTGGACTTGACGCAATGATGCTGCATGTTTTGCGATTATACTTGCACTACTACCAACGTGAAAGTAAAGCCAGAAATGCCCTTTGTCTACCCAATGCACCTCTAAGAGAAAGTCCAAAAAAACTCCATCCGCAAGATGCGCAATGCCGCTATGTTCCCCAACATCTGTAGCTCATATCTCTGTACTGTGTTGAACCGACCCGTCTCCGTCTAAGATTGAGTTCATGTCGAAACTCTAAAAGTCCCAGAGTGTACCAAAAGCATGCATACCCTCCTTGGCACATCCCTGCATCATCTCATCGTTGCCCTGGCTGTTGCTCGTAATGAAGATGACCTCAGCGCCGAATCTCTTCCACGTATCTCTCAACAACTCCATTGTGTCCGGGCGGCCACCCCGCTTCTTGCTGTCCCAGAGGATCATGCGCTCGGGCTCGATGTGCTTGTGGATGAGACCTGTGACGGTGGGGCCGAATGTGCGCTCTTGGTCGGAGCCGATCCAGATGAGGAACCAGTTGGGAGATTGGATGCAGGTTGAGAGGGCGGCGCCGATGCCAGTACCGGTGCAGATACGGATGCCGCGTTTGAACATTGCAGAGGCGTGGCCGACGCCGGCTGTGATTGTGTTAGCAATGGAGATGCAAGTGGAGTCTTGCAAGAACATACCGAACTTGAGCTGGCGTGTCCATACAGTCTTTGGTGGATTGGCGACGAGGTTCTTGGTGAAGTCTCCTTGAACACCACAGATCATGTAGTGATGGGTAGCATTGCGGCCCTCGCTGATGATACCGAAAGCGTGGTACTCCATGATGGACGTGCGGCTAATCCGTCCTAGAAGACCCTGCTGCATGCCGCGCTCGAACTTGAGGACAGCGACTTTTGGTGAGGGGATCTCGACTTCGACTGGCACCTCTCTGAGGGTGACCCATGGGATGAGGATGCTGCAACTGGTCAGTAGGAGAAATTGATAGAAGTATGGGCGCTCTTACAATACTGTCATGAAGACAGCGAACCATAGCTCTTGTGCACTGAGTAAGCTGTGGGCGTCGGTTCTCCACTCGCCACGCTTGATGTCGTAGGTGTTGCCCATGACCACGAAAACCCATGTCATCTAGCGAGCGTTAGTATGAGTTCTGGGAAGAACGCAATCGGGATGCATACTGCGAGGCCTAGCCATCCAACAAATCGGTGATGCTTCTCGAAAACGTTGTGATAGGTGCTGACCAGGGCGTAAGCATGGTGTCACAGAGTTACACGTTCGTCGGAACTACTCACTTGCGAACCCAGGGGAAGGCGCTCAGGACCGAGATGATGATGAAGACGTTGGTGATGATACCGCTAGCGATCACAGCAGGGTGCTGTACGGCACGATATCTGATGATGTCGACGCACTTGTAGATGAGCCAACTGGGCTTTCTGTTAGTACTATTTGCAGTAGATGTATACAAGTCTACTTACGCAGCCCCAGACAATGCGCATCCAGAATGTATTCCTCCGACGTGCTGCAGGACAGATGTTGCAGCCAGCTTTACGCATACTGGTGCCCACTACGATGACTGGTCAGAAGGACTCGTGATAGAGGCAGGGGAAGTACATACCCCTAGCCCGTATATAGCGACCATGTATAAGAAGCGCATCCATAGCTCGTTCCTGAACAGGATGGCGGAAAGTAGGTTTCCCAGTACCAAAGCACCGAGATGTTCCTCGCCATACTTGAAGCGACCACATGCCGTCAAGATGATGCCCGTGAGGTTAAGTGAGACGACGAATACGAAGAACTTCCTGTATGTATTGAACCAGAGGTCAAAAAGGATCCACCGGCTGATCTTTGGCTTTTGAGGTTTGGCTCCTGCCGGTTTCTTCACGGTAGTGTCCAGTGCAGCAGCATCGGTAGGTTTCCGTCCCTTTGGCAGTGAGAGTGAGAGTTCCGGTACACTTGTACATGGCGTTATGCCTTGGTGAACAGGGGAAGCGGGGAGCAATGATGAGACAGTATATGTCGGCCTCTTAGGCTCCATATACACAAAGCCAGGTGCGGTCAACTCCAGCGTACTATCGTACATGCCCTTTTCAGCATCATCGAGCGAATCATCGCTACGATGGCTAGTAAGAGGGCTCTTCGGTGTGAGTGACATGTTGCTGGTACGCGGGAACGAGACCAGGGTCCGAGGAGATAGGCGGGGGGACGGTAACCTTGGAAGGCAAGGGCAACTGACAGGTGACGTTGGCCAAACTGGTAACAACGCAGGAGCGTTCGAGTGAACAAAGATTGGTAATGAGCACAGGCTAGACTGGGTGCTCTCAAGAAGTACTTATTGGGGAAGCAGCCATGAGGCGCACTGTCGTGTCATCTGGATCATCAAACCTTGCGGCGACACCATCCACAATTCATCTCTGGAGTATACGGTACCAATGTCCGTAAGCATCACAGTCAGACGAGCCCGATGATGGCACATTGTCCCAAACCAGCTTCCGTCGATCCCGGATAGATAGCTCCCAAGCTGAACCAGTTGGCGGTCGGCGCCTCCACTCCGTGCTCAGCTCGTGAGGGATTCCCCGTGGGGAGGGCAAGGAAACCTGGGAAGGCCTATGTCGGTAGTTTCTGCTCAACGTTGGGTCAGGAAGACAACCCCACAGCCTCGATATCGATCCGGAGACTTCTCTCGGCGGTGACGACGTCGTCATAACGCATCCGATATTACGGTCGTACAGATATGTCGGCAGGCTAGGATCACGCGATGAAGGTGGAATATTGCAAGAATATACTAGGGGGTCAATGCACTGGCTAGGTGGAACGGCTGGAAGTAACTTTTGGTGAAAAAGACAGGGATATAGAATGCAGTAATAAGGCGGAAGCGCACGTTCCCGATTTCGGGACGTCGTTCAACCGCGTCTAGTTGCATTAGCGAAAACGCGATAACGCGATAGTCAGCCATGCCGAGGCGCGCCCATCGCGAAGTCACTCAATCTAGCTAATCTTGATTTCTAGTTCTTCACGTACAGATCGACGTACTCGTCGATGTCCATGTTATCGAGCGACTTGGGGTCCTGCGCTAACGCGACGAGCTTGTCAACGTGTTGCGACGGGTAGTGCGGGCCGAGATGCCTCTTGTACTTGGCAAGAATCTCGGGCTTTGCTTCCTCACGACGCAACCGATGGCCAAGCGGAGCCTCGACAACCTCTTCCTCCAGCACGGTTCCGTCCTTGAGCGTTACGGTCAAGGCGTTGGAGATGGTGCGCTTCTCAGGGTCGTGGTAGTCCTTGGTGAATTGCGGGTCCTCTACACAGCTAATGCGCTGGCGGAGAGACTCGACGAGTTCCGATGTAGCAGCTTCGCTGTCATCTGGGTAGTCGGTGGCTTCCAGGCGGTTGAAGACAAACATGGTGGAGACCATGTACTACCATGATGTCAGCATACGCGGCGAACCACGAAGGGTGAGACTTACTTGAACGCAGTGATCACGGTCAGCAAAGTTCTCCATAGGCTTGAACTGCTTATCGATGATACGAATGCAGGCCTCATGCGTTCGGTTCACTACACCCTCAATGTCTTTGGCGCTCTTACCCATCGCTGCCAGCTTCTTGTTCAGGCGCTGCGCCGCTTCGACCGCAGTCTGCGAGTGGAACTCAGCTGGACCAAATTAGCAAATGGCTCACAAGTAGCATTGACCTGAAGGAGTCGTCTTACCCGGATAAGAGACCTTGAAGAGAACGTTCTCCATGACGTAGCTGCCATAGCCTCTCTGGAACTGGAAGGGCTTGCCGCCAAAGTTGACGTCGTAGAAGCCCCAGGTAGGAGCTGAAAGAACAGTAGGCAGACCCTGCTCACCCTTCATGACCTTCAGCACGAGGTTGACAGCGGTCTGGCAGGCGTCACCGGCAGCCCAGGACTTGCGCGACATGGTGTTGGGCGAGTGCCTGTAAGTACGCATAGACTGGCCATCGACAAACGCTTGCGAAATGGCATCCCGAGTCTGAGCCTCGCTGAGACCCATCATCTTGGAAACGACAGCTGTCGAGGCCAGCTTGACCAGAATGACGTGGTCCAGGCCGACCTTGTTGAAGGAGTTCTCCAGGGCCATGCAGCCCTGGATTTCGTGTGCCCTGATCATGGCCTCGAGGACATCTCTGACCTTGAAGATCTTGCCATTGCCGAGATTGCCTCCAGCCTTGTTTGTTCGTGTAATCCAGTCGGCAGTTGCGAGGATCGCTCCCAGGTTGTCGGAGGGGTGGCCCCACTCGGCAGCTAGCCAGCAGTCGTTGAAGTCGAGCCATCGGATCATGGCACCAATGTTGAAGGCGCCGTTTATGGGGTCGAGTTGGTAGTTGGTACCGGGCACCTTGCAGCCGTTGGGGACGGTGGTGCCTTCCACAGTGGGACCTAGGATCTTCCTGCACTGCTCGAACTGCAGCCCCTCAAGACCGCAACCGAGCGTGTCAACGAACACCCAGCGGGCGGTGTCGAACTATATGAAGCTTGATTAGCCGCGATACTCGCTGAGAGTGCGAATAGCTTACCGCAAGCTCGGAGTCGATGGGGGTGTTGTGGATGTAGTTTGCCATGTCCCTGATCTCAGGATCATACTCGCGCTTGCTCAGCGTTTGAGGCATGGAGCTCTTGAGGGCCGTCATGGTGGAGAAGGATGATGCGATTGCTGTGCGCGAAGTGATTGGGGTGGAAGGAGCAGTTCGCAGGGCAATTGGCCTTATGGCTCTCGATACGACGCTGGACCGTGATCGGAGGTTTCGTGAAGCGGTGCTGCACAGGTTGCGACTGAAGGCCGACATGTTGATTAGCGTCTGTCGTGCCGGACGACGTCAATGCAGCTTTGAAGAAAAGGGACAGTCGTACTTCGCGCTTTTGAGGGAACTGTAGGTCTTTGATGAAGTTCAGGACATGAGCATCGCTCGGCTCGCAGAATTCGGGAGGATGGATAGACCGCCGTCAACCGAGGCAGTACATATCCGCCATCCGCACGGAAATGTCGTGCAGCGGCGGCGTCACAGGCTTCACCATCATTTTCTTTCACTACATATGTCTTTGATGGTAATACTGCGCTTTTATGGCAGCCGCAATGACCTCATGCTGTGTGCGACTGCCTGCCCGCAATCTCACTTGACTTGCTACCCCGCATCATCCCGCACATGTGCGCGGCAGGTACGCTTCGGCTACCGTGGCTGGGTCCCGCTTCCACATGCCTGCAAAGCCGCAGAGCCTCCGAAAACTAGACATCGCATCGTCTTTCTAGATCCTCCAACTCATCATCGACTTCCCGGTCAAGCGTTTCTTCCGCCGCTCTTAAACTTGCCCAGGCAACATCTTCAACTTGCAGCACCTGGTCCCCGGCAGGAATGCGGCATACATCAATCGTACCATCAAACGCTCTATCAGGACGCGTTACAGCATGTTCTCTATAGCCAACCAACATGCCCAATCTACCCAGCCTCAGCATCCATCGCCTGACGTCTGCGAGTTGATATCCAATAGCCAATAACAAGGACACTTCTAAAAGAATATCCTTCTCCCTTGAGAATGCACCATCCTCATCGACACCATCGATGAACGCATGGCTTCCAATGTACGAGAGAGTGAAGATGTAGTTCCAGCAACAGCGCGACGTGGAAGCAACGGCGCAAAGCTTCTCGTACAGCAACTGCTCGTTCTGCATGCTGTAGTCGGCTGATAGATGCTGGGCGACAAGGACGCAATTCTTGATACGGTGTGCCATGAAGTGTCCTGTGCCGTCTTCAGAGTAAAGCAGCTGCGTTTCGCGGTACAACGCCGATGCGAGAAGAGCATCGCGCAGGGAACGATCCAAGCTTGATTGCTTCTGTATGTCATATGTAACGAATGAACGGTACGGCAGCTGGGATAGAATCAGATGCTGATGTAATAGCCGCTGTATTTCCTTATCAAAGGCATCTAGCTTGCGAGTCAGTTCTTGGACGTTGCAGTCAATGCTTTTCTGTACTCACGACACACGAGCCGCAGCTCTAGC